GGGCGTTTGGGGAACAGCAAATTCAGGGAGGGCTTTCTGAACTTTCCTTTTCTGTCTAAAGACAGATCCTCCAAAAGGAACTCAATCGTTTTGAATCCCCTCCCTGGAAATCTCATCAACCAGGGAAGATTAAACCCATATTACAAGAGAGGAGACTGGAGGTTGACATCAGATGACCTTTATCACAGGGTGTCACTTATTTTTCTGAGGTCTCATTTATCTTTCCCCAAAATCATTTATTCCTCCTAGTGGCCTACTTCCCCCCTCCCCTCTTCCCTATGAAGAGGGTCTATAAGCTTCCAGATCTTGCTGGGTTGGGCATTCACTTTTTGTTCATGTGATGTCCCCATGCACGTAAAAAAAATGTGTATACCTGCTATCGTTTGGATGTGGTTTGTTTTCCCTACCAAATCTCATGCTGAAATTTGATTCCGAACGTTGGAGGCGGTGCCTAATGGGAAGTGTGTTGATTATGAGAACAGATTGCTTGTGAATAGATTAATGCCCTCCCTAGGGATGAATGCATTTTTGCTCTGTTAGTTCACCCCGTAACTGTTTTTTTTTTTTAAAAAAGAGCCTGCCCCCACCCCATCTCTCTTGCCTCCTGTCTCCCGATGTGATCTCTGCACATGCTAGCTCTCCTTCACCTTCTGCCATGAGTGAAAGCAGCCTGAGGTCCTCATCAAATGTCCAGTCCTAAACTTTTTCCAGACATCAGAATCATGAGCCAAATAACCTTCTCCTTTTTATAAATTACCCAGCCTCAGGTATTCCTTTATAGCAACATAAAATAGACTAAGATAATATATTTTCTCCTATGAATCTGCCTGCTGTCAATTTATTTCACAGACTCAGTTACCAAACCATCTGAGGATGGAGGAAAGCCTTCCCTCTCCTACACATCCTGTTTAAGACAGCTGTCTTGCAAAATATATACTGTCATCTCTATTTTGCAGATGAGAAAACTGAGGCTCTGTAAGAGAAGCAAAAATCACTTGTCCTAAGTCACATAGCTTATAAGTGAATAAGGTGGGATTCAAACCAGGATCTAAGTCCAAAGTTCGTGTTCCTTCCAACTATCTGCTGATCGCTAAGTAGGTCAGAGTCACCTGATCTCTATGTCGATTATTTATTCTGTGGATTAACCAGAGCTAAGAGGTATTTAAAACCTGTTCCTGCCTAACTCCTTAGCATATTCCACTCAATTGGTGGGTATTCAGTGGTTGTCAACATATTTTGAATCTTTATTATTTGGGGGTTGTCAACTAATATTGTTTTGTTTTATTTTATTTTATTTTTTAAGATGGAGTTTCGCTTTTGTCACCCAGGCTGGAGTGCAATGGCATAATCTCGGCTCACTGCAACCTCTGCCTCTCTGGTTCAAGCGATTCTCCTGCCTCAGCCTCCTGAGTAGCTGGGATTACAGGTGCCCGCCACCACATCCAGCTAATTTTTGTATTTTTAGTGGAGATGGGGTTTCACCATGTTGGCCAGGCTGGTCTGGAACTCATGACCTCAGGTGATCTGCCCGCCTCAGCCTCCCAAAGTGTTGGGATTACAGGCATGAGCCACCATGCCCAGCTATATTATTTTAATATTAGGCCCAGACAAACAAAAGTAGGAAGGGAAACTTGATGGGACAGACAGGTCAGTGAAATATTACAAACCAACTATATTTGAATTTCTTGATTATTTATTTTTCTGGATTATCCACAACTCCCATAGCAGTGCAAGTAAGAGGATAATTTCACAATTTTCATTTGGTTCCATTTCCTTTGTATCTTTTCCGTAATGTATTATGCAGCTATTCACCCAGGAAGTGTTTCATAAGTGGTACGGACAGGCATCCCTTGGATCAGTTCCCTTTTTGGAATTCTAGGTAGTCTAAGTTACCATGAGTGACTTCATGTCTTATTCATTTGACAAACAATATTGGTGTCTACCATGTGGTAGGTGCCATGCTAGGTATTAGAAATATCAAAATAAAACAGTATTGGTGTCTACTATGTGGTAGGTGCTATACTAGGGATTAGAAATATCAAAATAGAAAGGACACAATTCTTACCATCAAGGAGCTCATAGTTTAGTGGTAAGAAATCCATGTAAAACATTCAAAATGCAGTGTGGTAAGTGATATCATCGAGGTATGCTCAGGGTGTAATGAAAGCATAAAGGAAGTCTGGTTAGAGTGAGTTGTGGGGCCATACCAGAGAGAACATGTGAATTGATTCTTGAAGAATTTATCAGGTTTCCAAGGTAGGGGCAATCTTGACAAAGAAACTAGCTTGTTCAAAGGCATGGTGGTGTGAGAAGTGTCAGCAAATTTAGTAGTGTGCAAGCATGACTTCCTTGTAAAATGGTGGAAGATAATGTTGGAGAGACAGATTAGAGGTCATGTTAAGGAGCTTGTATCTTGTCTCCCGTAGTACATGGGATCAGACAGGTAAGGTGAATGAGTGATGAGGACAGTATTGAAGGATAGAAGAAAGAGGTGGTGATGGCTGTAGAACTTGATTGTTCATGCTTGTTTCAAGGAGGCAGTTCTAGCTGAATGTAGCCACATGGGAATGTGAATCCAGAGTTATCAGGTCTTCTGGTTTTTTAACAGAAAAGCGGGAAATCTGGATTTTTTAAAATGTGAAATCTCCAGAGTTCCAATAGCTGACAATTGCTTTTTTTTTTTTTTTAAATTCAAAGGTTTAGTCAATACTGCACCAAACACTACACTGGATGTGGTCTGCAGACTGTCATTGAGACCTGTGCTTTAGGGGACAGGATATGTATGGAAGCATAGAAGCTAACTGAAGCAACACTTTAAAACACTTAAAAAATAACCACATACATTCCTCTCTGGATTGCCCCATTCCAACATTTCTACTGCATATGATGACACATGTTTTTTCTCTGGGGAAGCAAAGAGACGTCCCAGGTCAAATGCAACCCTCAGGGCTTCTGAGGGCAATGGTGTAATCCAGAGTCTCAGTCAAGCCTGGTAGAACATGGTAAGGTGAGACCAGTGTGGCCCCTGAACATCACCGTCACCACCAGGAGATGGCTGTCATTTGTTTCCTTTTCATTTTAGAGGAAGAAAGGGCAGCCTGTTTAAACTGTGTATGCAAGAAAGTCAACACAGCCAGTGACAACACAGATAAAATACAGTGTAAAGGCTATTAAAGTTCAAACTCCTCATTTTACTGCCAGAGAAACGAAGGCCCTGGAAAAGCACAGTGACTTGCTCAGAGTGACCCAGCAACCTAGTGGCAGGATGAAGTCTCCTGACTCCTGGTCTAGCATTCTTTCCAATAATCCTGGGCTGTGATAATTAAAGTAAATCAGCCTGGCAGTTTTCCTAGCATCTAGAATTCCTGGACTGGACAAGCAGGACTTGAGAGCAGCTGTTAGACACCTTTTTTCCCCTTAGCTCTAGCATGATGATATTCTTTGTGAACTTTATATTTCATGGGTAGGGGTTAAAGAGAGGACACGAAGATGTTTTTGAAGCACTGAGACCATTCACAAAGTGTATAGAGAAAAGTTGTCTGTGGCTAATATATTTCAGGCTTATGACCTCTGTGCTCTCTGGACTGACCTGCCAGCAGATGCTTTTGGTTTTGTGTTTTATTTCTCTTCTTTTGTCTTCTTTTCTATCTCTATCTATGTTTTTCTTCTCTTCCACCAGCCTAGGTCTTAGGCCTACACATAAGTGCTCCTGGCATTGCTGAGACTCCATGATGACACTCAAGTCAATGAAATTGTTAATTATTCATTACTCAATTAATAACATGGAATGAGAGTGCGTAGTGACTATGAAGTGTACATGCTTCCCCTGCTGTAGTCATTTCACTTTCTATAATCTCAGACTAGTAACTCTTGTCAATTGTGACTCTTGATTTAACTAATCCTTTCCATCCTTCATTTCAGGGTCTATTGTTCTGCCATTTGCCACTTTTTTTTTTTCTTTCTCTGAACCCGTTTCTGATTGGTGCAGCTGTTGAAGATGCTGCAGTTGCAGCAGTGTACATCTGGAACATTTGGCTGACTTGTTGAACTTCCCCCAGGGAGTACTCCAGGAGAAGGATGGGAGGGGTGGAGAGGCCAGAACAGTTGCCTGTAAATAAAGATGCCAGTAGTGTCTGACCATTCTGTGGACCACCCTTGTAAAAATCCACTTCATTCTGGCCCTCGGTTTCCCTATCTACTCACTGAAGGCGTATGTTCTCCAATCAAAACTGCTGCAGTGGTAGAAATCTATTCTGGCTGTGGATGCTCTCATACAGCATTTTCTGCATTGTATCAATAGATATTTGTTGAATTAATTAAGAAATCCTAGGAGACTGTTTTACCCTTCATGGGACAACATCATTTCAGTTCCGCTTGGCATGGGTCGGCTTCTCTGTTACTTAGATTGAGCCTTCAGAGTCACTCCAGGAGTGAGGCTGCTTGAGTCCCACCCATTCCCATAGTTCCCAGGCTCCTGGGTCTCCTTTTCTTCGGGCGAGCCATTGAATTGCAAACACAGCAGGCATGGTTTCATTCCAAACCCGGAGCTGTTTTAATTAGTTTAACGTCTGTTAAACGCTTTGAAGATTGGAAGCAACAGATAAGTACTGGATGATGTTATTAACAACTGCAGTTAATTGCGAACATTTCTATTAATGCTAGTTTCTGCCTCCTTTTCTTTGCTCTACTTTCTTTCCAAGGTTCCCAAATTCGTAGCCTCCCCCTCTTTTCCTCCCCGTACTGGTGATATAGGGTTAAACTGGGGCGGAGCCCAGGGATGAACGACGGCGCCAGTCACCAACTGGGACGGGGCAAGCGGGAAGAGCTGGGTGGGGCGGCCAGACAGAGGCGAACCCTCACGCCCCCAGGCCCCGCCCCGCGGCTGGACGCCCGGTTGGAACGGCACGGGGCGGGGCGCCGAGGCTTGGCGGCCCCGTGGTTGGGCGTCCCGGCAGCCGCTTGAGGGATGGGGCGGGGTCGGCCGGGACCTCCTCCTTCATTCCCTCGGCGGGCCGAGCCGTCCCTCTCTCCCGCCCCTCCTCCTCCCTTTCCCACCCCTCGGAGTGGAGCTGCACATGCGGCTGCTCCCTGCTCCGTCCCGCCCAGCCACCGTCGCGCAGGAACGGGTCCCTGCAGCCCCCAGCCGATGGCAGGACAGTAGCCGCCTGTCAGAGGTCGTGAACGGCTGAGGCAGACGCAGCGGCTCCCGGGCCTCAAGAGAGTGGGTGTCTCCGGAGGCCATGGGCTACCCGGAGGTGGAGCGCAGGGAACTCCTGCCTGCGGCAGCGCCACGGGAGCGAGGGAGCCAGGGCTGCGGGTGTCGCGGGGCCCCTGCCCGGGCGGGCGAAGGGAACAGTTGCCTGCTCTTCCTGGGTTTCTTTGGCCTCTCGCTGGCCCTCCACCTGCTGACGTTGTGCTGCTACCTAGAGTTGCGCTGGGAGTTGCGGCGGGAACGGGGAGCCGAGTCCCGCCTTGGCGGCTCGGGCACCCCTGGCACCTCTGGCACCCTAAGCAGCCTCGGTGGCCTCGACCCTGACAGCCCCATCACCACTCACCTTGGGCAGCCGTCACCTCAGCAGCAGCCGTTGGAACCGGGAGAAGCTGCACTCCCCTCTGACTCCCAGGACGGGCACCAGGTGAGTCACCTAGTAGGGGCGGCGGCGGCCCCCTCCCCTCGCGGGTAGGGCGAGGGCCCTCCGCCACAGGGGCCTGGGGGCACTCTGCCACCTCGAGCCAATTTAGAGGGCAGGACCAGGGAGGGACCAGGCGAGCAGGGGAGAGGTTGCCCAGGGCAGGTTGTCTTCGGTCCCTGGCCCAATCTGGACTCCCTGGGGACCCCTTGACTTGGAAAGTCTAGCGCGCGCCCGCGGCCCCTGGCTGCGGGCTGCCTGGAGAAAAGTTGGCGAAGCTCCCGTCGAGGAGGTGCCTGCGCTGCCCCCCGGCCGACTAACGGCTTGGCCCTTCTGCTCGTGATGAGGTTCTCTGCCCGCGGTGCTTGTTTTTTCGTGTCTAGAGCTGATGCCAGAACCAGCAGGCTCCCCTTTGGAGTTGGAGCTGTAAACAGCTGTAATAACTGCTCCACGCCCGCCTGTTGAAACAACTTTTAACCGCATTTTCAGCGCGGGTCCTTGTGCGCTGACCAGAACGTGGGCTTGTTCACACTTACCTGCAATTTGAGACTGATTGTCCTCAGCGTTCTAGTGAGGATCAGCGCCCCTGAGGAATTCTGGTAGAAATATGCCGTCTTGCTAGACAACTTCTGAACAGCAATTTTAAAAATCTATGGAAATAAAACTCACCCTTTGCATGCCGGTTCTGATTCTTAAGCGGGGTAGGTGTGCGGTGGGAAGGGTGGGTGGGAAGCGCTTTTGCTACTGCTAGCTTGAGAACAGGAATCTGCCAGTGGAATAATTACTCAGGACTAGTCCCCCAAGAGCAGTTTTGTTTTGTTTGTTTTTGCAGCCTTTATGGTGTTTGTGCCCTTATTAGCAAACTATTAGCTTTGGCGTTTGTTTTCCACTCTTTCTAGCTCTTTATTCAAGTAAATTTAGTTCACTTAATGTAAATATTGTCTTCGTTGCCATATGTGAAACTTAGGAGAAGCATCCAAGGATCCTTTTGAGGTGGCTAAAGAATAATAGTAAAATTGTACCTCTTAGGGAAGAGAGCAAGTTGTACAAATAAGTTCCTTGAGGTGAGGGACCCAAGCCTTCTATATTTACTTCCACATCCAGAGTCATTGTCACAACTCTGTAAACATTATTTGTGCCACTTTGACCTCCCATCTAAAGTGGTACACTTGATAGAGACATCACATTCATGATCATAGTGTAATGTTAGGACTGATACTTTAAAAAAAAAAAAAACAACAACAACAACAACAAAAAAGATGTCCGTTGTAAAGTTGCCTTGAGCCTTAAAATGTCTTACTAGCACACTCCAATTTATATAACCGCTTATCAAAGAAGAGAATCAGCAGACATGCTTCTCATACTTGAAACTTTAAACATTGTAGCTAAACGATAATTAACTAGGATTCTGACTCCTTTTATTTATCTACTGCCACTCCCCCCACACCCCAATGCCCAGTAGAAATATTTAGCAGCTGAACATTGATATTCTGTGAAAAGATGAAAAAATTAAACTTCTTTAGTCAAATGTTGGCCAAGACTTTTTGGCATTCAGGATGGACAGAGCCGCTTTTATAGACTGGGGATTAGCAGAACAGCTGTACTCTAGGGCTTCTGTGATGGCATGAAACTCTTACAGGTGTGTAATGGCATTTAGTTACCTCCCTTTGTGTGGCACTAAAATAGTTCTCTCTAGGTTTAAACACAGCTTCCTACCTTCTGTCCTTTATTCTTTCTGTTTTAATATTTTTGAGCAATAGAAGCAAGGATACTAGCTCTTTACATTTGTTGACATCAGTTGGAATCAGTTTCCTAGAGTTATGAAGGGCTTATATGAGTCCATTTTGTTTGATTCCCTTGGGAAACATAGGCCCTAATGGGAAAGTGACTTGCCCAAGGTCACATAACTAGAGTCAAAACTGGGATGATAGTTGCTCTCTTAACTCCTAGTTCAGTGCTCATTCCCTCAACTACCTCCTGGGACCTTTTGCGAGGGAGCAAGATGGAGCTCCATATTAGAACTTTTGCAAAGTAGAGCACTCAGATCTGCATCATTTTGTTCTACTGTACCTGTATTTTGACCACAGTAAGTTTAACCATGTATTCCTTATTCTTCCTGAACTTCACTTTCAGATTTGGAGTATACTTTGAAGGAATTTTAGCCCAAATTCAACTTAAGTTTAAGTTATTCAACTTGTGTATCTTATCTTGTATATTAGTTTTAGTATACAAAAATAAGTTTTTTAAAAAGTTGATTGGGTATTAAATTAATACTGCTACAAGCTTGGGTAAAATTTCTAGTGCCCTGGTGCACCCTCTGCTGGCTTTACAGGGACATTTAATTTTCAGTATCTGCTGACACTCAGAATTCTACATTGTGCTGACAGATTCTGATTCGGTAAATAAGGAAGTAAACAGCCTTGTGGGATTTGGCCACGTAGGTCATATTTTTATATTTTAGTTTTTCAACACAAACAACTGCTGTTACAGCAAATCTTGGATGGAGAGGAAGAAAGATAAAAATATACATCCTTCAACGGGCAGTACATTCAGGTTTCTTACTAGTTTATCTGCAAGGAGTGAAGGCAAGCTGATGACAGTAAACTGCAGGAAGCTTTCATGAGACCAAGTGGGCAGAACAGTCAGAGACACTTCATGCAGGTAGGCAAAAGTAAACCTATTCATTCTTATGAGATGATGGGCTCTGGGCTCTCAGTTATGACTCAAGAAAGGGACCTGGAAATCACTGTAGATGTGTGCATATCATCTCTCAATTTAAAAACTTTTTAAGCAGGGCACACAAGGAAGTTAGGGCAGTTAGGATACAGAGCAGAGAGATGAGCACATTTCTCCATGTGAAATGTTAGAAAAGTCTCCCCGGTAGGGGCACACTTGCTGATGATAAAGTGAGAGAGTCACATCAGACCTTCTGTAATCAATCATCTCCTTCAGCTGGAGCAGCCAAGTAGCTGAGATTTGTCTGGATAGTTGGTGGAGATTATCTCAAGAGCAAGGGATATCTCATTTGTGTCTGAATTAGGACAATATACAGTAATATGATTGTCAGCGTAACAAACTAAAAATCAGTGTTGATCATTCTGTGGAGATGTTGCTCCAGTTGTGATTGTGGTCCTCAAAGGCCAAGAATGTAGTGGGTATCATCAGGAAGGGTGTCAAAAACAACAAAACACTTACAAAACACTTATTTTTTCCATGTACAAGATCAAAAGCAGATTTGCTTCTACAATCAGACAGGAAATTCCGGTGACTGCTCCTCAAGAAAAGCCTAACAGCTGATAAAAGTCCTCAGAAGCCCCATTAAATTGATCAAAAGGATGAAGGGATTTTCTAGTTTTTTTCTCAGTCTGGATAGAAAGAGGCTGAAGGAGGAATATGATCAAAGTCTACCAAACCATGAGCGAGATGAATATGGTTAATATATTCATGTAACTTAACAATCCAGTTCAATAAATAGAAAGCCTGCTTTGCCAGACACAATGTTAAGTATTAGATACTTTTTAATGTTTGAAAAATTATTTTCAAGAGGAGGCAAATAAAGGTAGTATCTTATTCAACTCATTGTCTCAAGTAATAGTCAAAATTATGGGTAGATCAATACGGATTTACTTAAAACTGTAGGGCTATTTGGAGTATGTTCCTAATTATTTGAGGTGATGTCATAGATGTCAACCTTAAAGTTCTACAAAACGTTGCTTGACATAACTAGATAGACCATCAGTGTATCCAGAGTTGACATTACCTGTGTTAAGGCTTTTTGATCAAGAACATAACTAGGAATCATTTGAGGTGATTCAAGGTGAGCACAATGAATAAATCCAAGGATTTTTTTTTTTTTAAATGGAGGTGGGATCTAGATAAAATACATTTACTGTGGGTTTAAATACAGAACTTTTGATCAACTTGCTTCATTATTCCCATCCCATTTTCTCTCTCACTAACTCTGCTGCAACCCAGCCACCATATCCTGCTTAGAATCATTCTTTAGTTGTTATTGCTGTTGTTGTTTTTAAATACATTTTATGTCTTTACATTAGAGCTCCTTAGAAATCCGCCTTCATTTTTGTCTTTCTCCATAATGCCTGACACAGTGCTAGTTACAATTACTGTACTCAAATACTTGTTGAGTTGAATATTCTTTTGGGACTATGGACGTGTTTATGTAAAACAAAGACATTTTCTCTTTCTGTAACAGGCCTGTTTTCCTCAGGTCTTGCTAAGCCTGTGACCTGTCAGCTATGCTTAGGTGAGTAAATAGTTCCACTGGCAATGTTTCACTGATTTCTAGAATAATTAGAAAGTGAAATGGAGAAGGGCCTTAACCATGTGGTCAGTCTCCCAGTTTCACATCTTCTCTCTAAGATGGTACAAAAAGCTTCCTGTAATATATTGTTTGATGTTTTGTTTTATTTGCTTTTAGGTCTCATATCTTTCTTTCTGTCTTAGATCTTGTGAAAAAATAATCTGTAATTTATCTGTAACTACCTTATAGAGAAGATCTCTTTGTAGTAGAGAACCTCTGAAGCCATTTAATTCCCAAGAACATTACCAAGAGAAACTACCTTGCCTGTAGAGGACCATTTTATCTGACTCCTCTGTAAATACTCAGGACTTAGCTTTTCATTTCATTTCTTTCTTTTATTAAAAATCTTTTCTATTGAAGTATAACTCATACACAGAAAAGTATATAAATAATATTTGTACAGTTTTATGAATCATTACAAAGTGAATATACTCATGTCACCAGCACCCAGGTCAAGAAATAGAACATTATTATATTCCACAACTCCTACTTATATCCTATTGTTATCAGTATATCCTCCTCACTCTCTCAAGTTCTAACACCATAGATTAGTTTTTTTATCTTTCTCCACAGTGCCTGACATAGTGCTAGTTGGATTAGTTCATTAGTTTTGTTCATTTTGAACTTTATATAAATGAAATAAAACAGTGTGTATTCTTTTGGATCTGGAGTTTTTTGTCAATAC